ACACGGCGCAATGGACAGCCGTGTGTTAGAACTGTTTGCATTTAAAAAGTATGGAGGCAAAATCTATAATGTTAGTCCGTTGCAATAAATAACGATATGTTAACAATAAATCTTAAACCGGTGATGAAAAAGTTCAAATTTTTGTTATTTTCTTGCTTGACCAGTGTTATGAGCAGTCCGACTAGCTTGAATCAGATAGGAAAACAAATTATTGGGATTTTGTCATTACGTATACAAAAATAAATGAAAATGATCCTTGCGCAAAGCATTTTTTATATATTTTTGTGAAGGACATCCGCCCAACACTTCACTTCCGCTAGTTGCAGCAGTTGCAGTACGGGAGCAGACGCCTTCACTTTTGGGGCGTTTTGATGCAGTTTGTTGTCGTATGTCGTGTCGGTGTCGAGAAGAGCGGTGGGGCTTGGGAGTTTGTGACCGGTGTTATTCGTGAACACTGGTGTGGGGCGCTGATGCGTCTTTTTTTTATACTGCCACCACCCCGAACTTTGAAGATACACGGGCCCGTAGCAGTGCATTGGGCTGAATCGCGAGCTCCTTCTCTGTTGACGTCGCTTTCCTGGTACCACTCGTGGATACTGCAAGCGTTTAAACAGTGTGCACCGTCTCGCCTACATCCCCGGTGACGTACTCGACCTGTTGAAACTTATTGCTTCCGTCATTTTAGAGTACGCAAGGCAGTTATCTCGTTGGTCTGGTTTCGGTTACAAAAACAAGGCAAAACGCTCGTAGTTCCCGCCCTCACTACACGTTGGACATCTTCCACACTTTGACACCGGATAACTGAATGAACGAGGATTTACATTCACTTCCGAGGTTACTTTCGCCGCTTCCTCACCGTTGAGCAGCAGGATGAGCTGGCGACAAGCCGCGGATGAAAGGCTTGAGCATCAACAACCCAAGCGCACTCGGTGCCGATGCGGGCGACGCGGGTTTCTGTCAACCGGGAGGCCAGCACAAACCGTGACCGTTCCAGCTCTTCGTCATGACACGGTGTTGCAGAGAGCAGGGTAAAATACAGCTACACGGATCACCGAAGCAAACGACTGCTATCTTAAATCTTGGCTTGTGATTGCGCCTTTGTAGTAGATCATCTTATTCGTTTTGCTGGAGAGTCGCAAATGACAGGCATAACAAAATCGCTTGCACAATCCGCATATCTCACAAAAGCATTTACCCTGTCACCTTGCGAAAAGCGCGAAATACGGAGTCCGCACCGTTCTAAGCTTCCCGTTTTTTACCTGCTTTAGAGCAGTTTGTACCTGCTAGTAGATATGCCTACTGAAACTGAAACAGGGCAGTGCCAGAGAGAAAGAGACAAAGTTGAGAAAGCTTGCTCGCTCTCCAATTGCTCAACTCTCAAGTGATTGTACCATAATAAATGCACCAACGCGTCTTCCAAAATGAAGAAAGAGCACTACGTTCACAACATAAAAAATGGTCTCAGTACATGCATCTGTGGGCAGGTAGGAAACCTTGCCCTAATTTATTCACGCCGCATGATTGGCGCAACAAACTCGTTGCAGGACCGAATCATCTACTCGAGCGGTGTGCGTCGCTATGCAAACGCAGTCCAACACGAAGCATAAAAAACGGCAGATTTAAGACAACAATCTGGAGTCCATTATTCAATTAAAACAACGGAATTTTGTTGAAAACGCCCGCTGCTTCTTACTCACGGTATGTGTCGGGATACTTACACAGTTTCAAACGGAACGAAGGAAGATTTACTTTTAAAAACGCTCGCTGCGTCCTCCCGGACCAGCTGGACCGGATCAGCTGACGACGACGGGACTGTACCCGTTGAACCTCCACCACGCAACAAACAATTTGCGATCCGTGTTAAAAGCGTGGTTCAAACAGACCCGGAATACAAAGCACCGCACCACACACGACGAATGTTTCAGCTCTTTTTCGCATCGCCGGGTTGCACCAAACAGAACGAGATCGCCGAAGTCAACGCCGCGCTGTCGTGAACCTTGGCTTGTGGTTGCGAACTCGTGGACCCTGTGACTCCCTTCGCTTTCAAAGCACACACGACGATTACGAATGCTACTCTCCGTCTTCCAGGAATATCACAGGGGCACTTCTCAGGTCACGTCTTCACTATGTGCTCGCAAACTCCGAAGCTCTATGCGAAGCTTCTCGCGTCCCGTCAAACCAAAACAGTAGCGGCGCCTTGCGTACTTGCCAGATTTTCTCCGGTCAAACAAAAACAACGAAAGCCAACCGGCGCTTGCTTCCAGCGTACATCGGCGTTGCGCTTGCGCCGTGGCCAGATCGCTTGCAGTTGAAGGTTGAAGCAAAAACGAAACCAACTGCAATGTCACGTGTTCACACCGAGGACACGCTTTTTATATCCATTTTAACTGTTTGGAACGAATAATTAGACCCATAACTTTATTTGTGGTGTCTAAGAAACTGTTATCAGGACCCCTAAACTAAATACAAACATGGGCGACATGAGGGAAGCCGCATTGCCATCGACCAGAAGATGGCGGCGAGAAACGGTAAGCGCGGGTTTCGCCAACGTCCTGCGACATGGCGCAATTGCTTTTGGTGCATATATCTGTCTCCGAGACATGTTTCTTTCCGCGGCATTTGTCTCGACGGTCCTTTCTAAGTGTGTCCCCAAGCATTCCGGTGCTTCGATAGCCGGCAATGCCGCGGTCGTCGCCGGGGGCGATGCGTGTTATCGAGGTCGGCTACACGGTTATGCGTGTATGAGCGAACCAAAACACGTTTTTTACAACCTCGCATGATTTCTGAATGAATTATCCGTTACTCATCGTGTAAATGTATGGTAATTTGTGTAAATAGCGTGTTTTTCACCCCAAATATTCGCCAAATACACGGGACTTGCTAACAGTGCATACGTTAACATCCATGCTCAAATATAGATTTACAGCGCCAATTTATTTAGCTTTCAATGTTAGTTATTCACGTTGAATTACTTATTTGATGCTCCTTATTATTGCAGTTAAGAAAAATATCGAAGCAGTAAACTAATTACAAAAATTAATTCGAAATAAATATACATTCCTTAAAATAGAAAGAATAAAAAGGCGGAGGACAAGCACAGGACAACTATGTGGCTGTCCTGTGCTTGTCCACCACGTTGTTATTCCTTCGATTTTAAGTATTCGCTTTTAACTCGCTCGCTTTAAACAGTCCAAATATACATTTATATACGCGCGTCGCCCGCTCGCGGCTTTGACGAACTGCATCTTAGACCTTTCTTTCATCTCAATATGCACAAAATTCCAGTTCTTAGCGTTTTTTCTCTAAAAGTGAAACACGGCAAGTTGTAAGCTGCAATTTAGCGAGAGTTTTCTTAACTGCATATGAAGTGTGAGAGTTTTCTTTTATGTTTCTGCATAGGGTGCCGAGGCTTCATTTTATTTCGGCTGCGCTATACAATCTGAACGCTTCTCTAAAGCGAAACGACTGAATTGGTTTGCCAGCATTTCGATCGCCATCACTGGCGATTGAAAGCATTATGAATAAGACTAGGGGCGGTTCTGTTTAATGTCTCTCAGAGCGTGATTCTTGCAACGTGTTCTGAAAGATACTAAAAATATGACTACAACAAAAACGATGTGAACTCATGTCTGCTTCACATGACGGTCATCGACATAGCAGGCAACCAGGAAGCCGACCGGCTTGCGGATTGTGCAGGTAACCTTTCCAAATGGTCTGCCTGTTTGCCCTATCAAAAAAGAGCGCATTTAATAAAGTCATCGCTTTTTCCTCCTTTGCAGTTGATGCAGACAGAAAGTGTGAAGGCAAGTTCCATATGACTAAAGCTGCTATTGAGTACTGTGAAATATCTTCATACCAGAATCGACTTCATGAAACCTCTTTGTGCCGTGTGATAATTGGCACTCTTCTACTGTTTATAAGTATCTGCTTGGGAAGAAAACAAACCATTCAGATCAGTGTGGCGATACTGCTACTATTTTAAATATTTAAGTTCTGGTCCTATCCTGCCTTGAGCCTTAGCACGGCACTCATTCTTCTAAATTTTTTTAACACCAGATCCCATTTCATCCTGCTCCTTTTTCAGAAAACCATATAGCCTCTTTTGACTTTGTGATAGACATTCTTGCTAGCATTCACCTTCTACACTAATTCTACACTCTTAGAAATATGTAACACCCCAAAAAAACAATTCGACGTTCAGTCCACCGACGTCAAACCGACGGTACCAAATTTCACGAGCCGCTTGCTTGATAATCGAGGGATACAACTTATTAAAATAGCTAATGTACGTTTATGCAATGCTGCAAAAAAAAAAATTGTCTTTTATTTTCGTTGTAGTTTTTGATACGCACATTCGCTATTTAGTACGTTATATCCAACAGCTATCGAGCCGCGCGTAAAAGTTGGTATCGCGAGCTGGACATCAGTGGACTGAACGCCGAAATGTAGCTTTGGAGTGTTACATATGGGACAAGAGGTCTATCCCTCTACACCCCGTCTGAGAGCGTAGCTTCAGGTTACACGTTTGGGAAAACGTTCCCAAACTATAGTGATTGATTCAATCAATTTGGCGCAAATGGCCTCATTGTTTTTACGCCATAAACATCAAAAATGAATCCATAAATCGATCTATTAACATATCTTAATTATTCTGTGAGCGGCAACGACTCATATGCCCATTCGTGCCGAAGAGGTATTTGGGTCATTCCAAAACTATACATACGAGTGGCACGAAACCGGCCGTCTTTCGATATTCTTGGGGCCATTTTTGAAGCGTACTCGTCGTGATTATGCACGTATCATTATAGCTACTTTTAGACAATCATCTGGAAGGCTTTAAGCTCAACGCGGGTGTGCACAAACAAGCAGATATAAAAGATCATATACCTCCGCCTGCGACTAAATGTGTGCAGGGAACTATGGTCGCGCTTGGTATAGTTGTCTGTCTGGTAATCATCTTTCCGTCACGTAATGAGGGGAAGAAACATGAAGATACTAACCAACGCGGTTCCTTCGCCGTATTGAGCCAGTCTTTCTTTCAGGGCCTGATACACTGATATTTTTGGCACAGAACCCCCTGGGTAGGGGGAATGGACAATGCCGTGCTCGATGAAGACCTTCAGCGCCATTTCTTTGATCTCGCAGTGCCCCCTTAAGGTCGAGACTGCGCGCTCCAAACTGAAACAAAAACACAAATATATTCGAAACATTCGTGGCTGGCAAGACCACAAACTCACACATTTTCGCCAGACCATTGGTCTGTCTTGTATAAGCATATCGCACGCACCGGTTATAGAAATTGCATGTTTTTATATCTCTGCTCAATCAGTACCCTGTGCACATTCTGTAATCAGAACGCAAGGCATGGAAACATATTGCTATTAGGTTTTTCAGACTACTGATGTCACTTTGCAAAATTAACCTTTGCCAGGGAAGTGGAAACTTATCGAATATAAACACCTAATTTTGTTCAGAAAAAAACAATTCAAGTTTTCCTACACGTTGCCGCTGTGCACGCCCATAACAGTTCTCCGAGCTAAAGTGTCCACGCGTGCGGCGTAGCGTTCGCAGCGCCACCGTTTGCGTGGGATGTCAAGGCGTGCATGGGTACATATGTCATAAAAACGACGTGAGGCAGGCCCGTATTAATGTATTAACCTCTTAACGGTGCTTTTTTTTTTCCGAAAATGCTTTTTAGCGTTTTTTTTTTTTATTTTATGGAGTACTACTGGCTGTCCCAAATAGCGGCCAGGCTCTTTAAATCGACCGCAGAATTCGGTTTCTTAACCTACCGCACTACCATTTTGTGCAGCGTTGCCCACAGATGGTGCATTTTTTTTTTTGTCAGATTCGCAAAGAGCGAATTTACCCGAGGAAAACGTAAAAAAAGAAAAAGGCTTAACTCCTATGGAAATGCAACAAAGCCTCTGGTCTTCATACAATAAGGAGCCCTATTGTTTGAAAAAAAATTTCAGAGCTTCTCTGTCGATTGGTATGCTCTCCTATACTCCGAATTCAATCCTGAGAAGAGTATAAAGTTTGAATCGAAAGAGCCGGCGCTCTAATTGCTACTTGCGCCAGAGCAGCCGACAATCCGAAGTGACCATCTTCCTCTCGAAAAGCAACACACCGTGCGAATATGACGCTTATAGTTCGCCAGAGACAAACAAATTACAACACCACCCGCGGTACATGCGCACAAGTTTGGACACCTTTCGACGCGTAACTTTCGTCGCATACTCGTACGGCGACGAACGTCAAAGGCTTAACGATCCTGGACTTCGTTGCTCGGAGCGCATGGAGTGAAGAACGAAAAGTACTTCGGTACGTCACCAAATTTTTCGGCCTTTTCCGCTTCGGTGCGACGCTGGACAACCGTCGGCCGCCGAAGATCGAGCAAGCCTATACGATGCTGACTCGCGTCTTTGAAAACGCCCAGTTCCGTTCGCCATCAGTGACGCCACATTCTGATTGAATTTCATTGTCGCGGTTCAGCGGTGGACAATCTGTCGGTTTAGGCCGACAGATGTGCTCTCCGTGTATCACTTTAGGTCTGACCACAACCAACCGACCAGTAATGCAGTGCCGGGACTGCACCGCCACGGCGCTCGACTTTCTTTTTGCCGGTTTGCTATTCCCGACTAAACCATTCACGCGGTGTAAAAGTGCCGCAAGCTTTCGTTTTTTTTTTTTTTTTTTTTTTTTTTTTTTTGTGCGTGATTGGTTTATCCGGGAATAATAAACCCACAAAGAAAACTATAAGCGTCGCGACGATGTACTTACTCTTGGTGCTGTTCGATTCGCTTCGTCAGATGGTACCGCCGGCTACGGTCGGGCTTGTGAGTGAAATTGAGATACCTAAATAGGTGCGCCTTCTCTGTTATGCAGGGGGTTATAGTCGTTCCGTTTTGTGCTATTGTGGCGTTGAATTATTTCTCTTGCTGCTGTAACGCCCGCCGAGACGTGAACAATTATAGATACAATGAGTACACGACTTCGTAAATCTACTAGTGATACGATGTGCTGACACCAAATGAAATTCATTCACCTCGGACGGGTATGGTGAATTGCATGCTTCTTTCTCACTAATGTAGCTCTCAACCTATTTTGAATCAGAAAAAAATAAATGAAGAATGCATGAAGAAAAAAAATGACAGAACAGTACTCGACAGATAAGATGGTTGACAGAAAGCCCACGCGCGCGCCTTATCTCTTATCAAGTGGTTTTGGCACTTGCTTGAATAACAAAACCACATAACAAGTATCAAAACCACGTGATAAGCAGCCTCGGTGGCACAGAGGCAAAGCGCCGGCGTACGGATCCCCAGGTGGCGGTTTCGAATCCCGGTCGAGGTGCCCGTAATCCGACGAAGGCTTATTGCGGAGAAGGCGCCGCGTAAAAGAGCTTTCGGTTGCACGTCAGAAGATCTCCTGGGCCTGTTTTCTCGAACGCGAACCGTGGGATAAAGCTAACTACAGTCCCTAGAATGGCGAATTCTAGGTCACGTGACTGGGAGAGCAGGGGCGCCGAGGGAGGAGCAGACCTACAAGCAAAATGGCCACGACTTCGCTTAAAGGGCTAATAGTTCTGCTTGGTTCTGCTGAACATTAATTTCGGTCCTGGTTGTTATATTAATGACGCACCATCAACCTATTAGCACGTCAAGCAAAGCGGTAGTTCAGAGGGACTACCAAACTAACCGACGGCAGCATTCCGCGAACGCATCACTCTTCAACAGTCCGGGATCCAAGACATATGACGATACATAAGCTTTGCAAGTGTTTTTATGGTGAGTAAAAACAAATGTTTTTCGAATGAGAAGTTGGTATATATTTATACCAACACGTTTAATTTGTTACACTATGCACGCCAACTCATGAGCAGCGATTACTTTGCGGAGAAAGGGGGTTATCCTCGATAAAGTCGTTGTTCCGGGTGAACAGCTGCAACATTGTACTGTTTTTCTGTTCGCAGTGCGCCGACAGTATGCCGACAGCATCGAGGTTTCTACATATTCCCGGTGGCCAGCAATTCAACGGTGACGAGAAGCTTAGCTTCTTGTCACCGGTGGATCGGTTGGGCAAACGGAAGAGAGGGCAAACAGTTGAGATCAGCAGGAATCGCAGAAACGCGCGTCGCAAGGGACAAACTACAGCTTCGGCGTTGCCAGACTGGAAGGCACTCGGGAAAGTTATGCGTTGTTTATGGCGAAACACATTGAAGGAAATGTTTCTTACATTTTCGAATATTCGTCGACAAACTCTAGCATAGTAGCTAAAATTTCTTCGTACCATCTGAAGCAAATAAATTGGTCTTCAAGTACATTACTATATTTTGATTTAAAATACCATACCAGATCGATAACAACTAGCGGAAAAAGAGGATAAACAAAATGACTGGCTTGTTTCACCGTTAGATGGCGCATCTTACTGCCCAATCAAAAATAATATTGTTGTTCTATATCCAGCCGTTTATTACAGTAGCTAGGTAGTTTTTCCTTCCTAGGCACCGTGGTTTACCAAAAGGGGTTTCTATCGCTTCGAGAAAACCGGCCCAGGTGGTCCAAATTAATCCTCAGTCCTCCGCTGGAGCGTGGCAGATGCCCGTCCTTGGTTTGGCACGTAAAAACCCCAAATTTCATTTAAAACGACGTGAGAGATACTAAGCACGTAGCGCTGCCGGCATGCGTTTCTCGGTAAAGATTGCGGTTGCGGCAGCGTACGAAGCATTTCATATAGAATACGTTTTGGTACAGTGCATTTGCTTTTCTTTCGTCAGTCATTTTGTATAGACCCTTTTCCTGTTTACGAACATGAACTGCCGCTTGCGTCCCAAACCATTTCCGGTCGCGCCGTCTTTGCATACCTGTTGAGCTTGCTTATGTCAATAGTGCTAGAAAGCATAAATGCTACACGGACAACAAAGGTGTAGATTTAGCGAGTGCGTTCGGCTGTTCAGTGGTACATCTTGGAGGAGGCAAGTTGGTTTAGAAGAATACTTGACACATTTTAACGGATCTCGCCTTTCGTCGTTCTTTTTGCGTTCACCTGGAGAATTGGTGCTTAAATGTTTATTCTACATTTCAAGCAGTGGTCTTAAGGTGAGCTCGTTGCTATGACAGCTCGACGTTCATTCTTTTTATAAAGCGGAAGTTCTCTGGTACGTTAAAGGCTGTCAAAGACTGTCAAACACCAGGTGGCGTTTGCCAAAGAAGGGCCTATAGCGCAGGTGGGCAATCGTTGCAGGTAATACCACAGCTTCCCCATCCAATCACCTTCACTGCGTGTGTTGGAGCCTTAATATTCTTTACTTGTTTAGAAGCCTTCTGAAATTACTCTGCAAACACCTTGAGGTAGGTAAGAAAAGGTGCTTGGCGGGAAAGCACTCAGATCTCAGCTAAAGAAACCAGCAGGCGTTCTGCCTAATAGTGCTATAACGACTAAAAGAATATGGGTCGCAGAAACAACCTGATAATTCGTGGCATGGATGAATTGCAAGAGGCCGTTGTTCTCAGCAATGTATAGAGTGGTTTTGGCAGACCTTCCGCTGTAAAACGAGCCGGAAATTTCGGCGCTTGTATATGGAAAGCTTTAACCTTTACCAAATGTGCACTGATTAGTTCAGTGTTACCGTTTGGAATCTCAAGGCAAAAAACCTACCAAAGTCCACGTGATGCCCGTTGGCAGACGCCAGAGGTAGCGAAGCCCCCCCCCCCCCCCCCCCCCCCCCCCCCCGTCGCCTTTTGGCCATATTTCCCAATATGCGCTGCGGGCAGACAACACGTCGTCTACTTGCTGCTCCCACCGGGAGATGGCGCTACAACTTAATTAATAGATTAATAGCAGAGCCGTTTATAGAGAGAGTTTGGCCATACATTGGTTTGAATAGGCGAGCATCTCGGGGCCAACCACAGGCCGCGAAACAGCCCCTAGCAGTGGTCGTGTGCTCTAAATATATCACACGACTAATTTAAGCAGTTTTGGCGTCGCTAAAGTGAAAAGGTTTAGCTCTCGATGACTGAAAGCTTTGGGGATGTGAGGTTGTCATCACTCCAATATTCGAGTGTAGAATAAACGAACGTGCGCTCCAAACCAGGGCCGACTTGCTAGAAACAGCTTCTCAGTTAAG